CTGTGTAATGMGATGTTTTCAGTACAAATGTCTCAAATTGTATCAGCAGGAAAGCTGGTAAAATATATTGAAGGAGTAACAACAAATATCACTAAACCATTCCACACTAAACAATTAGGCATTATTACGAAACTCTGCCATCCCCAGCACAGTGAAAAATGGGTTTCTCTGTTGTCTAGAAACCGAAAAGAATAAATTAACTTTAGTTGTACAAAAAACATTTCTTTTTCCATTGCACAGACAGCCTTGAAAAAATAAMAGAAAAACAAATAGGGCTGTGACAAGTGGTTATACAACAGCTCTACTGAGTAGCCTTAGCAACCTTTACCATACACATTCTTCTGTCTTGATTTCCATGTAATTCCTACACAATGCATTACACAAGCTACCTAATCTTTCAGTCACAAATTTTATTCTCACAGCCCAAATTAAACCTTCTCCAGCCTAACAATGTTTTTCTTCTTCTCCTGCCTAAAAGGGATCTCTTTGCAGCAACCTTTCTGCTTTACGGGATATTGCTAACCAGGCCTGTCCAAAGTGTCCCTMTTGCCAGATTTAGAAAAATATTAAATACATAAAATAAAAAGAGGAAAAGACAGGTTCTTCAGCCTTTCCTCCTCAGTCATATCTTCTCCACATCTTTCTTCATTCCTGCCCTCTGAATTTTCCCAATCTAGTCCAAATCTTGTAAAAGTAGAACTAATTCTTCAATGTGATTGCATCACTAATTGATACCTTCTCATTCCTTAAGCTGACAGTTCTCTTCCATAAAACTGCACTTTAATCAGTCACACACCACTACAGATTTTTCCTATGTAGATGTAGTTGTGTTATATTTGACCTTGAATCATACYCAAATGCAGGCTGTTTCTTCCATTTGTCAAGACTGTGTTCTGTGCTCCACCCTCCTGCCCATTTAGCACTGTCTGCAAATTTTAACACTGTATATTTTAATCCTTWATTGGAATTATTAATAGAAAACTGAACATAAGCAGATACAGAATGAAGCCTTGCAGAATCCCATTTAACAAACTCCAGTTTGAGACTGAACCATCACAGAAGAGAAAATCCTGAGAAGGGACGCTCTTCACACCTCATTAGTAATTAAGTACAGCTCACAAATTGATGTACAYTAATCTAAAAGAGTTTTTTTCTAGTTGCTTTTGAGAACATTAACATAAAATGTMAAAAGATTTATTGTCTCTAACATCCAGGAATCTATTGTTCTTCTATCTCCACAAGTTCTGTTAACAGTGTTCCAAAGAAAATCAAATACATCTGTATTTGTGACTTTTGTTAGTGTGCCTGTGAACTGCTTTTTGCAGTTGCTTAGACTATAAAGACTTAGCTCATACTAATTAGGAAAAATTTATCTGATGCTGAGAGCATTAGATGTTCTCTTAGATCAATTCTATATGTGTATGGAGCACAAGAATGAAGATATAAGCAAGGCTAAATACATGTGATGTCATCTTGATGTAATCTTGAAACTAACCACACATGAGAAAGACTGCAGTAAAATCCATTTGTTAGCCTCCATTTTCAGTGATAATATGTTAATGCAACACTGCCCAAAGCCAGAAAAAGAACATTGAAACAGACCTGCCGATTCTAACTGCACTGAAGTAGCAGCAGCATGCACCAGTGCATACTCACTGTCATTGAACAGAAAGTTAAAGAAAACTTTGTAAACTGCAAATGTAATAAAGGACAAAAGAAAATCTCCTTAACCCCCTCCTCCCCCCAAAAAATTAGGTCAAGTACCATCAAAATAAAAACCTGCATCATATTCACAATTTCAGAAAGTTGTTTCTATTTTAATATACTGTATCTCATAGAGAGAGCAGTTTTAAAATTCTGACAGTACATAAAATATAAATTCTGAGTTAGACTCAAAGTGAGAGATAATATTGGACAAATGTCAATTGGACCTTTTACTTACAGCATTATAAYACCATATTTTACTAAAAATCAGTAACTTCAAAAGTGTTTTATTTAATTAATATAGCATAGATGAGTTAAAGCAGACTGAAACAATAGAAAATTATTCAAGATGACAGATCTACAAAGAAATCTGCCATTTGGTAAACCAGCTGGTCTTAATTAGACATTCATTTTTGAWGGGAGGACACAAAATCTTCAGTAATCAAGCCGGTTAAATCAACATGCACAGTAGTTACCAAAAGACAAAATAAGTGGAAGACTCTTTTCCCCCTTCACAAGAAATATGAACACTTWTTCTCATGGTTTCTAAATCAACTTCATGTTTGACAGAGGCAGCATCTTGTTTCWAGAGTGGAACTGGGAGGTTGCTCAGAGAGCCACCTTCTCAAGAGCTGACAGAAATGAAGCTCTCATCTCTAAGATTTTGATCCCCAGCTGGATCTACCGTGCAGAGCATGAACAAGTCAACTATTTACAAACACARCACCCTAATCTCCTTCTCTCTTAGCACAAAGCTGAGGAAGGGAGAACAGAGCAATTTCCGGGTMTTCCCAGGCTTTGCAAGTAACACAYCTCATCACCCATAACTAAAACCAAAGAATTACAGGACCCTTGCAGCAGCATAGAGGATACAAGCATCCAGTCCTCATGTGCCCACACAAAACTGAGAAMTGAATGTGCCACCACAACACTTTCTTCTTCCTCTTGTACACATCAGAAATAATGTCCTCCTGTAGCTTCAAACACAAGCTTAGGAACCATTAAGTTAAAACATCCAAATCACAAAATTTTAAGATTACTGGGCTTTTATGTGAATGCAATTGACTAAGAAATATTGCTGCTAAAGTATTATGCAATTTAATGACAATTTCTACTTCAAAATTTTAAAAAAAAAGGAAGAAGAAAAATATACTTTTTCAGCATTTCAGCACACACTAAGGAAAGAGAATGTATTAAAACCATCACACTCCCTGTATTATTACCTGACTTTCCAGATTTGCAATTCACACATCACCACTTCAGAAGAGTTTCCCCTATTGCTGAAAGACAGCAGGGTCTTGTCTCACACAAAATGTTTACTCTGGGCCAAGCACCYTCTCACTGAAGTGTCAACTCGTGTAATACAAGTCACTTTAATGAACACAGAGAACAATAAGGAGCTGGGATGAAAAGGAGGCAACTCCYTGTCAGATAAGAGCTGGCCACACAGAAGGAAGGAGATCCTCCCTGCTCCAGCAGAAGTGAACTAAGAAATTAGCTCAGAGGTAGCACTAAAAAYCAGCAGCTGCAGGCTGGCACAGCTGCTGATGCTGTGGCTGGATTGCTGGAAGCAAGTCACATCCAAGCTGCTAAACACAAAATTTATGGCAGGTGCACTAAGAGACTATACAGTGCTTAACATCAAAACCGTCCAGTGCAAGAACAGCATTACATCTAAGCCATCTTTAGCAGAATTCTGGGAAAATCTTAGGTATTGCTTCACTTTTAAAGCCCTAACCCTTATCAACCTGGATCAAAAAYAAACAAAATCACGGTGCTAAACTAAGATGAAGAGCATATCCAAGTCAATAACACAATGGTCAGTGGCAAACATATTGTAATACCATCCCAAAAGAATAATTTTTAATTGCTTCTTTAAATACTTCGAGTAACAATCCAGGAAAACTGTATTATTTCCTTGGGTCAAGTATAGCAGAGAGAACACAGACATAAATGTATTTCAACTTCATAAGAAAGGGTTGAATGACTTGGGAAAAAAATCAGTCCAGGATAGAAATTTTCTCAACTAGTTCATCTAGATGCTGAATTTCCTCTGCATGTCTCTGCAGCTCATRAGGGAATGCTGTGGTTTCACATCCAGGATCCAAACACGTCCACAAACATTAGTGTGAATTCAGCAATTTATATTGCTTACATGTGAAATACCAATACAGCTGCAACTTTTATCTCCCAAAACATGAGTGCCGAAATGTATCGAAATACAACAAAAAAATAATGTTTAATGTTTTTTAAATCCACCAGAAACCATGGGAGTTCTAATACAGATAAAACACTGKCTGGGTTCAGTTGAAGCCATGGCATCATAAAAGTCAAAGTGAATCTAATCAACATGATGCYGGAAATGGGGTAGCAGCTGGTCCATCTACATTAGAACTCCCAGTGCTGCCAACACCAATCAGTATTAGGTCATCATTGCAATCTCTTTGCCAATCCAGGGACAACCATGACTTCTACATTGTAACAATGAACRGAACAAGATCATCTGAATGTAGAAGCCAAAGCAGTTTTTTATGGAAATTCTTTTTATAGGCACAGTATTGATCTCATACCATGGTGAATTAGAGAAAGCATTTTAATACCTCCACAACATACATATTATATGATCATACATATTGTTGTGCTACACAATAGCATGTTTATATTACTTTTAATCTTCTAAACCATTTTATACTGGGTCGAAGCACAACTATCAACTTCTATTAATGACATGTTCCAGTGAATCAGATATCCCTTATGGAAGGTGTGCTATSTAACAGTGTATTCACTGCGAATACCGCAGGCTGGACAAGATACATGCTCATTTCAACTGATCATAGAATCGTCAAGGCTCGAAAGGATCTCTGAGGTCATCATCCAACCATTASATCAACTGTGCCAAAAATGCCCAACAATTCCTCATCTCTACTTGYAAAACAGAGCCGTAATTTTTCAGATGCATTTTTCAAAGAAGACTTTTATCTTTTCAGCGCAAAATTATACACGTGTTTCGGCAAGAAATACGCTTCACCTGAGCGCGTAGGCTGAGCTGCCCCTGAGCAGGAAGAAGGCACAGGGGGCCGACTGCCACCGAGCTGTCCGGGCCGGCAATGCCGGCACTCCCTGCCCACCCCAAACACTGGGGCACAGCTKCCAGCCTGGCTCCACCTCGGGAAGGGGAGGGGCCGGAGAGGGGAGGGAAGAGTTGTGCCCCCAGCCCAAGAGCCGCCCCGGGGCTCTGCTACGTTCAGCTCCGCCTCCCCCGGCTTCCGCGAAGGGCGGGCTCTGCTCCCGCTTACCCGCCGGTGCTGCTGGGCGCTGGGCGGCGGCGCTGCTCCGCGACCCCGAGGCTCCCGCCTGCCCCGGCCCCCGCCTCCYCGGTGCCCGTAAGCGCCGCCTCTTCCCCGGCTCCCGCCTCCTCCGCGGCCGTGGCCGTCCCCGCCGCTTCCTTCCGTCGCCGCCTCGGGCGCGCCGCCGGGCCGCCGCCGGCCGTGGCGCGCCC